TTCTCTAAACTTACTAGATAATTGAATCACTAGTAGAGCACTTGAATTAAATGGAACTGGGTTTAATTCTCAAATTTAATATCATCCCTGGGGTACAATTCTATTTAGCAGACTAGCTGAAAATAGAAATATATGGCCATCGTGGGTTCGACTACTTGCCACATTCTATTTATTCATTAATCCACATTATTGTTTTATTGTATCCACTATCTAATTTACCACAATTCCATGAAGATATACTATCCCTAAATAGCTATTTAGTCTTTAGCGGTAAACTACAACACAAGTATTTTTCTTTTAGATATTTCTGTATGAACCTTGTGTGGATTATCACTAATGTATAAAAGACGTTGTAGTGGCTTTGCTTCGTTAACCAATCACCCTCGTAACCGTTATTATATAAATCTCAATGGTGTTTGAAGTCAGAAGGGCAAACAGAAGCGGTAACTACAGTTTATTAAGGGATAGCGCAGATCACAAAGCTATAAGCATATCGATCGAATCGGAAGCGGAGAGGTGAATAAGTACATACGAGCAATTACATAGGCAAATGTTTAGTCAAATTGCATAGGAGTTTAGCAAAACAAAGCAAGGACTAATAATAGGATTTGAGTACATATACACATGGGGAGGAGGATGAATCATCGAGTGATAATTAAGCAATCAACATTTTTACTAGAGTCTGTCATGTACTCTAGTGATTATAATGGTACAGAGAAATATGCTAATTGTTACTATTCTGATAACATGGTCTGTCAAATAAGTTAATAAATGGGCTTAACCAAAATTAACCATAATCAAAATTGATTGTAGGATAGTTGCTATAACGTCATACCGTTTACATAACTTTATGAAACACTCTATATATTATTTTTTTTAATAGACTAAACCAATTTTTGCATAAATGATCATCCATGTGTTATCCACTTTGACAACTGACAGGCTGAAACAAAAAAATAATAATTGAACCATTATTTCTACCAAACTTTGCTGATTGAGACTTATTTTTCAATTATATCTTCACTTATAAACACGAATGTTATGTTTAACCATTTGAAATCAGTAAACTATACATGGGTTTATGCCTAATTATATTTAATAATGAAATATAAATATGTTCTCGTTCTCTGAAATTTACATTTATAATAAAAAAGTGAATGGTTGCGACAGACTGGAATGTAATATTCTATATTCTTCCATTCTAATGACGTCAATAATGACTTTCAATTGATTTATTCCTAAATACTAATTTAATAATGCCATCTAAATAAATCAATCTAAATAAATTGTATATAAATTTATGCTTAGCAACGTTTAACAGTAGGGTTATTAAATAATCAAAAGTATAACTATTATGCAATTTATGGGAAAAACAATAGTTATAGATATTAATACAGTGTTTAAGATGTGAACTCTTTGAAAGTATCTGATTTGAAGATTTTCAAGATAATCATTCATGTCTTTTGATCATATTACATGGATAGATTTTAGGTTATACATACTCTTAAAGACAGTCTATGACAAAATTATTTACTACATAAGTTCTCAAGTTACTAATGAAGGAAAGTAGTATATATATATTATTATTATTTTTTTTATTATTATTATTAATGGCTCTATTCAATATTATATTTTGGTACAATATAGGATTCTCAGCAAAAGGTAGTTTAACAAGTTTTTTTACAAAAAAAAAAAACAAAACAACAACAGTAACAAAAAGGAAAGGAAAAGGGTTTTAAAAAAATCTGAAAAACTGTACAACTTTCCAAAATAGAGACATGTTATGAATGTGGGTTAGTCACTAGGTTAACTCGAACAACATGTTCGTTACAGAGTATATTTGCTAGGTAAGTTATTATAGATATATCAGTTATTTAACTTCTTTAACTCGGAAAATTCTCTGATCAATCTATTTCCACAATAAATAAAGTCTAATTTATATTGTGTTAAAGTAAGTTTTAATTCATGATAATGCTTCGATAAATTTTCTGACTCTAATTAATTTCCTTCATGATATGTTTCCGATTTACCAATTATAATAAATGATTGACTAAACGCAAATGTATTTTATGTATTCAGTGATTAATCAAGTTACGCATTTTGTTATACAATTAATCCTGGAAAATTTTCATATAGTTATATACATATAGATACATGCATCTCTGTCATAGTTTAATAAAATACAGAGCTATACTTGTCATACGAGTTAACACTCAAAGCCGAACAAATGACTAGTGGATGCTAACTTAGTAGTATGAATTCATTATACTCACATAAAAGTCTACTGCAACTTATTCAACAGTTTATTATTTTGATTGAGATCATGAATGGATCAATGACAGATCACTAGTGAAAACCTGGAAGTGCTAGACTGCCATTTCGTCCTGGTATGGGACTCTTCAACAGTTCTCATCCACGATCCAGCATGAAGAATTTGAACCCAGGACCATTTGTCTCGTGCGCGAACAATTAACCTCCAGAACACTGGTCCGGCATCCACAGAATATCCTAATCGAAACTCAACAAACTCTACAACCCTAAACTGATAATCTTGTTGGGATATTCAGGAAAATATCCCAAAAACTATTCTATTAAGTCTAATGCTATTCTTGGAATTGAGGTTGTAACATTTTCCTATTGGTCAATATTTATTTCACGTGTCATTTTCCTACTGATCAATACTTATTTCACGTGTCAAATGTTATTTTCTATTTTAGGGTACGATGTGGTCTGCTTGATTGGTATATAAACAGAGTATGCTTGAAATATAACGATTCATATCGGAGAGGCTGAGACTTGTGTTCTGGACTCAACTGACTGGGCTAGACAGGGAAGCTGGGCCAATCAGGACTTTAGGTCGTTCTTACGTGTTTTACGCGTCTTTGCTTCGATCGATAATTCTCTGCCGTCTAATCTGCAGTCCACAAGATATAACAAGTCTGTTATTAGAAGATATTATACACTACATGGTTTGAGTAATCGGTGATTGAGCAAATTTCATAAATGCATAATATTTCTGTATTATAATGGTGACATAATATTCCTTCAATCCAAAAGAGATCCTGAAATTCTTGTTCGACTACAGATGAAATCGGGTATGATGAACAAGATTTCACTCTTATTTAGACGAATCAATTAAGTATAAGTGATTAGAAAAGAGTGAACTTGAAGTTCTGTTTCAAATGATATGATAAATTGAAATTACATTTTTTGGTAAGATCGAAATTTTGCTTTCAAATATAATGCAGTTTATCAATGATACACAAGTTTCAGCCTTTAGTCAGTATTATCACAAAATAATCTGTTAGGAAGTAAAATGTTTCGTAAGTTGGTTTATTTCATTTGCTTTTGAGTTAAAGTATTAACAGAAATTGACCATAACTGTTCCCTTCTTACAAAATCAGGTATTTCATTGTCAAAATTGTACTCTTAAAAATAGTATTCAGATAGATACTAACAAGAATGAAAGTGAAACGTTTTAATCAAAATCCGTTGAGTATTGGACAAAATCTTATAAAAACATCTGTGATTAGAATAAGAGTATAATGTGTACATCCCTCAAAAATATGTAATCGACTTAATATCCTAGAAGTGTAAATTTCTTATCCTAGGTAAATATCACTACATTATGTTTTGTATATAGCTTATGCTGTATAAAAACCTGTTTCAAGTACACAAGTTACAAAACAGTGTCTACTTTCTATTAATCAACTTATCAAGTATACAAAGAGAAACAGTTTTGAGATATGACTTAATCTCATGGTCAAACAAATCGTATTACGAAACTACTTATTCCATTTATTTTTTCTATACTGTTTTCATCTCTGAGTTAAAACTGAATATTCACCAGGTATATACGACTGCATTGTATCGGTTGAACAATAAAATATAACCACGTGTTCTATAAAAAACATATTTAGGAATCTGTAATATCAAATGTGTGATAATAATATTCATATTACGATTAACTTATTGATATCATTAAAATAAGCTTATTATTTTGATGAAACCTTAATTTTGTCTAGAAACATATGTTAATGAGAACAAGAACGAAGATTGATGCAGAATAATATGAATTCATTTTATTAAGTTCTCATCAGCTGCTTACAACCTAAAATATTTGAAAATCAACTTTATAACAGATATTGACATGTTTATAAATGCCAAGGTGATTAAAGATGAATATATGTATCATGATTTAGTGAAGATTTCAAGAGTTAGTAAGGTCATAAAAAATCTGTTTCGGATAAATAAGGGTTAAGAGGGAAAGTTCCAGAATATTGATATAGCAATTAGAACTTTAAGAGTTAACAAACATTAAATGATTGTGTAATGAAGCAACTGAAAATAGATTATAACTTTATTAACTCTATTGAAATCTTCGCTACATCATGATACATATATTCATTTTTAATCACCCTCTAATGTATAAGTTTGTCAGTATCTGTAATAACGTTGATTTTCAAATATTTAAGGTTGTAAGCAGCTGATGTAAACCTAACGAAATGAAATGCATTCATATTGTTTAGCTCTATCAATAATACTGATTTCCTTTCTTGAACATAGTATTAAATGGGTAAATTAAATGACTAGATTTTATTTAATTCTACCTTATTATTTCCCAATTAAAGACAAAGTATAGCCGCTTTATTTAATTGAAAAAAAAATTATTATCCCATTATTTATAAAAAATATCTCATATTTATTTACTTGTTCATCAGTAGATTATTTTCAATTAAATAAATAGATTTTATTAACCAATCAGATAATAGATAACACAAATCACTTTAACCAATCATAATTTTCTGTTTAAACTTAACTTTTATCTGTAAACAGAATAATGCATAGACGGAATTGTATATTTTGTTACAGGTTAACATTTACTTCTTTATTTAAACGATAGCAATAACCAACATTTAAAGTTTTTTTGTATTTTTAATTAAATTAATCATTGAGAAAGATAAACGAAGGAGAAAAAAAAGAAATAGAACTTCAACATAATGACAGATAATACAAAATATCTTTTAAATGTAACAAATGAAAATTTGACAACATCTAGTAATCGTTTAATACCGAATCCATGTATAATGCTTGAATTAAGTTCCATTAATCGTAATCTATCAATAAATGATATGCAACCATTAAAACGACATGTAACAACTCGTGTTAGGATATATCATTATTGTGTCCTATTTACTTCAGTTATTGGATTAATTAGTATATCAATAGCTTCAGTGATATTTTGTATACATACAGGTTATTATTTAAATCAGTCAAAATATCAAATGAACAATACATATATATCAAAGAGTATTAATGGATTTTTTAATTATTCTCAGTGGACATCATTGGGCATATTCTTATTTGGATTATCATTATTATGCACTAGTTTTACATTGTGTTATTTTTACAATTCAATAATTAATCGTTCTTCAATCAATAAGCAAGGCTGTTCACGATTAAATCATAACAATAGTAATACACAAGTACCTACAATAATTAATAATAATAGTACCATTAGTAGTAATCATTGTTTTCTTTCACCATCAGTTAATCAAACCTAATACAGTCGTAGTTTTTGTACTTATTTATAAATAGTTTAAAGTTAACATGTACAATCCATGTTGCATTGTATTTTTATGCATAGCAAAATATCAGGGAGTTTTACTATTTTTTATCCGGATTTCTATAAATAATTTGTATGCAAGTGATTTATGTGTTTATCCCCTAATGATACAAATATACCTTATTTCAAACGATATATTCTATCTGGTTGATAATACGTATGTATTATGGACTAGGTTTGTTTAGAGAATTAAAGGAAATCAGCAGGCACTGAAGAGATGTTTCGTTTAACTATAGAACTCCTCAGTAAAGCACACGCACAACCTTACCAGAAATTGATATAAGAATTTTCAAGCTTAGTGGCTAGTGCATGATCATTTGACTACTGATTTGACATCTACTGATTTACATATTTAACTTCTAATTTTCGTTAACATTCGATCATCATCGGTAGCTAATATTATTATGTTTTTACTCTCTGAATGGCTGAACTTCACCTGTCATAACTTTACCATAAAAATTAGGCTATTTCTTGAAATTAATCCCACATATTTATCTTCAGTATAGGGGGTTTGTGAAGATCGTTGTGCGGTTCTCTCCAATATTTCATAGTTCTTTGATGACCGTTTACAATGAATTCCTGGTGTCGAACTTTTAGTAACTGGCTAACTGATCGTATGTTAAACACTGATAGTTTTAAATGATTTTTTTCGATCATATAGATTACCACCTTAACATTGAATATAGTTAGTCACATGTTGGGATAAAAGGAAACAACGACTTATCACGATTCAAGATTAATTACATAAACTGTATTATGAAGGTTAGCAGTATTGCTTAATTTTCTGCTATGGAGATAACATTTCAATGAAGTACAGCTATACCTATTGCTCATGAAACCGATAGATATCAGATTCATATATTTTTCAGTCTGTTAAATGATTACATTCTTACTCATTGTTCTTTCTAAATCGTGTCAAATTGTAAAACGGCAAGTTTGATTATCTTGCTAGTATGAGCGAATAGATTATACGTTGCATCCTGAATGACTTATATTATTATTTCATATTTGTTTTATGCTGCTTATTAGTTATTCTGTATACCTAATGATTCCCAAATTTTTCTTCATCTGTTTAACTTAGTTGAAACTGAAAACCCGTCAACCTGAATACTCTGATGATTATAAATCTGTGGAATAATTTTTGTTTCTACTAAACAAATTTGGGATGTAATTTAGGTCCAAATATACCTTTTAAACATAAGGTTTGATGTACTTTAAATAATTAGGTAAACAATTAAAGAACTTACTTAATTATTTTTAATTAATCGTTTTTTGTTCATCTAAGTTTTAAAAAAACATAATCAGAATTTCAAAAAAGTAACTTAAATCAAAGTACAGCTGTTTCATTATTATCTAAAATACCAATCATCGCATTTCACTAGAGTAAACCAAGTTTAATTATTTTCATCAAAAGGAATTATTCTCATTATCTACATAACAATTGAAACACTTATATGTTTAATCGATAACTAAAACTTAATTATCCTTTGCTATGTTATACTAATTGTGAATAAACAAACTCTAATTCCTTTGATGATAACATTACAACTAACTTGTTCTTTTGATATACTTAATGATTATACTCTTAGGAATTGCGTAGGATTTTAATTAAAGCGGTTGAATAATCTTTTATTTACATAAATTTATAGATAGTGTATTATTTTTCTGGTTAGCATCCTTTTTAGCGAGTTAGTTTTCTACGGGATGAGGTCGCCAACCTCATCCCCAAACCTCTTCCTTTATCCGAACTTCAGACCAGCAGTAGTCCCAGAAGGGCTTGGCGAAGCAAGAGCAGCATATCTACAATTGAAGAGAATCTGGAAATCAAAACAACTGTCAACCAACACCAAAGTCAGAATTTTTAATACAAATGTCAAAACAGTTCTACTGTATGGGGTGGAAACTTGGAGAATTAGGAAAGCCATCATCCAGAAGACAAAAGTGTTTATTCTCAGTTGTCTATGCAAAATGCTTCATATCAGTTGGCCAGACGCTATCAGCAACAACCGACCGTGGTAGAGAAAAAACCATGTTCCATTGGAGGAAGAAAACAGAAAGAAGTACTGAAATCGAATAGGACACACATTGAGGAAAGCACCCAACTGAGTCACAGTGCAAGCCCTCACTTAGAATCCTCAAAACCAAAGGAGGAGTGGAAGACTAAAGAACACATTACGCCGAGAAATGGAGACAGACATGAGAAGAATGAAAAACAATTGGATAGAACTAGAAAGAATGGCCCTTGAGAAAATGCATTTGAGAATACTGGTCGGCGGCCTATACACCCTTGGGGGTAACAGGCGTAAGTATGTAAGTAAGTTAGTAATTATAAATAGTGAATAAGTTCATCTTTTTCAAATAAATTTTATAAAATACAAACATTTACAACCATTATAATCGCTAAAGCTTATAAATAATAATAACTACCATATATTCCCCCAATTGAATTCCTTACATTCAACCATAACTTTTATAGGTTATTAGAACGTTTTTTTTTAAAATCAATTTACATATGCTGTACAATTCTATAAAATGTGCTTTGATTACAAATAAATAACTTTGAATTACAACAATAAATCTTACTAACAGAGAAACTGTCATTATCTATAAATGATGAAAGAAAATGTTCATATACGATCATATATGTTAATAATACTGAATAGTAGATAAATTATTATACAATAAGTCTAGAGAAAATCTCCCCTAGAATTGAACCTTAACAAGTAAAGCATTCCAGGTTATTATTATTATTTTCATATACTTTTTAAAACAATATTAATCTGTCAATAAAAGATTAATTATAAATGCCACACATGAAAAGAATTTTCTAATAATTATATTCATTAATAATCTTTAGTTAAGTATTAATCGGTTCTTTCAAAGATCAAATGATTTCTATTGATTATATGAAACGGATAAATCGGTTTTTTTTTTTAAATAAATCCGTGTAACGTCCTGAAAACACTTATGAATTGTAAGTTAGAAGTCTTAATAGCTTAGATGATAATCCTATTGTTTAAAAAGAAATTAAATTTCCCCATCAAAAGTTAGACTGAATATTCCGTCTAAAACATTCATCAGTTTAAAAAAAAGTTTATCAACCAGTGATTACAGATTCTATTTTTTTATTTTTTTCCCTAAAAAGAATAACCTTTTTCTAAGCTCTGGAGATTAGATAAGAACGTTCGTCTAAATTTGATCGAATAGTTTCACAGTATTTGAGCTTCGAGCTAATGTGAGACATTAAAGAGGAGGAAAGTATTTTTTTTAAATCTCAAAGAAAGAATTTGAAGTAAATCCAACGTTTCGCCTGGCAATCTGGTCCAAGCTTTTTCAAGGAAATAGTATTTAATTAATATTGTTTTCAATATCAAATATTTCTTTGTTTACCATTTGCATATTCCCTATTATGTGTCATGAATAAAAGTATTGAATCTTTTTGTAAGGACTTCAAAATAGTCTCCAAGTGAAAACCATAATACTAAATTACCTAGCAAATATATACTTAGAAACTATTTAGATAGGAAAAATAAAATACATTGCGTGCACATTAAATAAAACAAGTTTAGTATAGTTTATGCCATATAACGAAATTGTTAAGAATCCAACCTCGATTAGTTATACAGTTACAGAAGGAGTTTATTGCATTAATGATGAAAATGTGTTGATATCGCCAGTTACGAATATTTCAGATTCGATGGTGACTTCTAAATCTATGTAAAATGTATAGTATTATTTCTACAAATTATCTGTATACACTAGCTAGTTTTGAAGGAAATCGCCAACTAATTAGTGTATAAATGAGGAAAAGTTAGTCGAAGAAACCATTGTACTAACCGAAGTTTGCTGGGACATTTGAATCTAAGATATATAAATTAAAAAACCACGAAGTGCTAACCACCTAAAATTTAAAACGTCATTACTAAAAGTGAGTAATTGACATTTCATTAGATTGTCTCCTTATAACTTTCAACTTTACCGTCTCTATGATAAGCAAGGTTGTCAGTATTTCCATTATTATACTTAAAATAGAAATATTTTATCAGAACATCAAGATACGTAGACTTTAGTAATAACAACATAACAATTATATTCTAAACAACCAGTCCTACTACATATTCTAAATTATTTTTCTCAGACAAATTATTTTTCTTCCTAGTTAAGATTATCTGGCTTTAAATTTTGTGATAGACCTTTTTTATTGATAAACCATCAGATATAAACTGAGCTGAGAGTTATGAATTTTACATCAGTATAATATGGATTAATTGATTTAAATGTTTCCAGTTTGTCTAAAGACTAAATGGTATGTGTTATCTTATATGTAACAAAATGTTGCCAATAAAATACAGGGCTTTATAGTAGCTTCACAGTAGCTTCATTTTGCAACAAAACTTTTGAACGAACAACCACAGGTATGACGGATAAATGTGGTGCAGTTATGTACTAGATGCACAATAAAAATTTGATCATTGGACTTTTCAATCGATGATCAAAAGGGATCATTGATGAAATGGAAGTAAACTTTTAGGCAAACAAAATACTTTCACTATCATTCTATATTCAGAAAATGAATTCAGCTAAAAGGAATCCGAAAAATCAATCCATTAGAACATAACAATGCATTTTAATATAAAACTATCATCTAATACTGATTGTTCATTATAACCGTTTCCAGAAATGATTCTTGAATTATACCTATTACGTTTAATTACTTCTAAATGAATAGTTTGTCTGTCCTTTCATAGTCACGTTTGTTTTCGTATAAAATTCTACATCAAAACAACAAAATAAACTCGACATGAAAATTTATAACTCGGAAGTGATTTATTTGTGCATGCTTACGTGTATGTATATAATAAATGAACAGTGCTTTATTGCCAGACTATTATAATTTTATTATTAAATCATGATATGCATGTGAACATGATATACACT